AAACAAATATACGCGATTTAAATCCGGAAAAATAGTTTCATTCCTATCAATAAATGATTATCAAAAATCTGTGTAGTAAGGTCATTTGCTCCAGGCGTGGGACAGAGGGCGGTCGCATGTTGACAGAGTCCACACACACGACCTTCAGTCTACATACAAATTTTCGCATTTTGTTAAAATTTCCTTGTTGTATTTAAATCTCATTAATGTTTGTGGAATATCAAGGAATATCCATTAAAATTTTCGCAAACTGCATTTTTATTACAATGTACTATTTTTGAATTGAACTTAATTTTTTTTATAAGTTAACACCTGAATGTTACAGAAAACTTAGTTACAAAATGTGCAAGATATATTAATGGTTTATTAACTATATTTTGTTGACTTTTTACACTAGAATAGAGCTTTGATCAAAGGACATAACTGCCACCAAGCAGTAATTTATGCATAAAGGCCCAATTAGATGGAGAGAGTTTCTCGTCTCGAAGATACGATTATCGAAAGATTTAATAAAACTTTCCTTGTCTAAATTCGGGATTATCGCCGCTCTACGGGAGCGATAATCGCCTCGCCTTTGTATATTGAACGTCTAGATCATCGTCTCGAAGTCGATACCATGTGTGCAGTGCGCGAGGATGTTTTGATTAGCACTGCTTTCCTAAAACAAGAATCAATGAAACGAAAGCGAAAAAAAATGTTGGGTTAAAAAATGTTACAAAATTAAAAAAGAAATATTATAAAAAATAAATTTCTATGAAGTTCAGTAAACTTAATATTATCAGTAGTTTCGAATTTGAATGATTTTTGCGTCATTTTGATATGTCCATAGTCAATACCGCAGTAAACACTGAACTCGAATGGCAATTCTCGCACTCAAAACGGTACGAACCGATTTGTACGATAATCTTGAAAAAATGTCATACCAGATCGAGTTTGGACAAGTCGAGAACTCGTAAGCAAGAATCTCCTTGCTAGTAGTTTCTATGTGTAAACAATCGAGGAGACGACTAAGTTGCTTGAGAATCTCGTATGACAATCGTAGGCGAGATTTTAGTTCTTGCCATAATCTTATGGCTATTATTGCTTGCGACAATCGCGTACAATTTTTCGTCACGAAGCGTGCGATAAACTCTCTCCGTCTAAATGGCCCTTTACTATTTTCCGGTTTTGAAGGATAAGGCCTTATTCAGAGTGATGGTGGGCGCGGATGCGTGTAAATTAAATGTACGTAGAAGCTCTTTGCCTTCGCCGGCGCCTGTCTCGAGACGGGCGCGGGCGCATGTGCGCGCGCGTATATCTATTGGCTCGGTTCGCGCGTACCTTTCACAGTAAGCACTGTTCTAGCGTCTAACATCTGTTTGGGATTTCCACGTGTGGATCTACCCTCTCGTAGCCGCTTCGGCTCTGTGAAAGCTAAGACGCCAAGACCGCCGCCGGCACTCTCAATGAGTTCAAATATTTGTGGTTCAAAGCTCTGAGTGGCACATCAACTGTTATGGACAGGCGTGTCGCACTTGATATAATAATCATAATGAAATCGATAAGTGTATTGTAAAAATAGAGCCAGTTTGTTTAAGATCGTAACTTATCACAAACTCGAACCTTTTTTCCGAAATAACGTTTGTTCGAATTGTCATTACACCGAAAACTGAATTATACGAAACCGTTGTTCTTTCAGGATATGTTGGATGTTTATCGCAAAGACACGATTAGGTTCGGTAAGGTTAGGTTAAGTTAGGTTTAAAAGAAAAAACATTTTCCTCTCAAAATTACCGAGGTTATGAAAATTCGAACAACCGTTATTTCTGCAAAATGCCATTTCGAACTTCTGATAGGTAACCATTTAAGATTCATCAACATCTGCCATTTGTAACCATCTATTTCCACTGCAAACTACCTCCATGACTGAACCAAAAAGGTCACCATGCCGGTCTGCCACGCAGCGGTCTCGGGTTCGATTCCCGAGCTGGGAGAAATATTTGTGTCATTATCATCATATTAGCTGGAAGACGTCCTCTGCTGAACATAGGCCTCCCCAAAAATTCCCAGACTAGCCGGTCGGGCGCGACGTGCATCCATCGATTACCTGCCGCCATCTTGTGATGGCGCGTACATCCATCCATCAAGTAGGGGGCCGTCCCACTGAACGCCTTCCGATTCGGGGTCTCCATTCGAAAATATTTCTGCCTCAACGGCTGTCAGGTCTACGCGCTATGTGCAGAGCCCACTGCCACTCCAATTTGCTAATCCTTTGATATTAATATTTGTCTAGCTGAGTTTGGGTATAATTTGTGGTTATCTACGTGTGTGTCCACGGCACCCGCGATACAGAGTTTCCTTAATGCAGGGCTATGAGTGTGTCCATTATTATTATCATCGATAAGAAAATTTGTCTAATCCGCAGAGTCTGACTTTTGGCCCGGGAGTATGCGACCCTCATCACTGTGGCAACACATTCTGCCCAGGGCAGTCGGGGGAACACTGCCAAGTGGAGACCTCAATCATACCATTTGCAATCTCCGTCCATTTCGGTCCTCCCGCCATCAAGAAGAACCCCGAGGAGAACATTGGAGCCTGTTTGAAATACCAGCAGTTGCCCTGCGATTCGTAGGGTGGTTTCAAAATTACGAAAATCCAAGACTCCAAGAGTCTGATTTTATGAGTTTAAGCCAAGAAGTAGAGCAAGTAGTAGGTAGAGCTCCTTGTGAAAGAGTTCGTCCACGGAAGTACTGCCACCTTACCCATACCGTACCCATTTCTGCTGCCAAGCAGTAATGCTCACATTATTGCGTTCCGGTTTTGAAGGAACGCTGGTTTCTGCTCAGTGCGTTACTTGCCTTCTGATGGTCGATCTTTTCCAATCTCCAATGGCTCTGCTATTAAAATAACTAAAATAAAAAGACATTTGTTTCTCCACAAAACATAAGAAACATAATACTTGAAAAACGAATAGAAAAAAAAACAATTCAGTGATATGGACGAAAAGGTCGCTCACATTTTGGCATTGCTGATTTTCAGTCCTCCTCTGTTCTAGCTAGCTGTTCGCTTGATCATTTTATCTCCAGGTGGACAAGCAATATTCGTGTTTTCTTGGATGCGAAACGAAGTTACTGCATAAGCGACATCCGAAGTTAGTTCGACTGCTTTAGATTTATATAGTCCCGAATTCGGAATTTCAGAATGAATCGGATGCAGTGCCCAAAATTCAAAAGCTAACTTAAGTAACAATAGAGCTCTTTGAGAATGAGTTTTTCTGCTGTCCAGTAGTCATGTGAGCTGCTGGTGATATTACAGGCACACGATTCTTGTATGTCTTACGGTGACGGACGCAACTGCAGTGCCCTTTAGATCTTTGTGATTTAAAGGTGCAAAAGGTGCTAGATCGTCCCGTCGTTAGAAGTAGTCCATTTCACATAGGATAGGTACTGTGATGTTTAAAATTTTTACGTTGCATTCATACTATTTTTATTATGGATGCGAATCATGGACCATAAAAGAAGACCTTAGGAAGAAACTTGAAGTGTTCGAAATGTGGTGCTATTGTAGAATACTCCACATCAGTTGGACGGACAAAGTCACGACTGCCGAGGTCCTTAAACGAATGGCGAAGAAGGTGGAGTTGGTACGCACTGTCAGAGAACAAAAAGTAAAGAGAACGGACACCCTCCGCCCCTCCCTAGCTTTAGATACCGCACCACACCCCGCACATTGACGGTCACTTTGATTGAACGGCAACAAGGTTGTTGGCGAGCCGTTTTCGCGCGAAGACGGCTTTGATATTTGAATATAGTTTTCATTTATTAATTACGAAACTTGCACGTTAATATAAAACATCATTCTACGTTACTATTTATAATGGTCGTGAATTGTGTTGTGTACGGCTGTATATCATCATTTTCCGAAAGATGAAACGAAGTAAGTAAAAAAACTTTTGTCTGAGACTCATTCAGTTATTGTTTTCTTCATTTATTTACTGCAGAGTAATATAAGTATGTATAAAAAATACAGATTTATTATATCAATATACTGAGACGCCATGACTTCGCGAATTTTCTATTCGTATTGCCGATCAATATTACGTAGGTAGTGAATATATCTAATTATTAACTAAACATGGACAAGCAATTTCAAATACCTTGGTTACCTTACTTAAAAGTACATGTTCGAAATATAACATTTTAAGTGCTTTTAATACATTTTTGAAATACATCTTGAATACTACTCAGTCAGAGAATTAATGAAAATTATGATATGATATCGATATAAATACATAATAGACATGTGTAATTATTTGGGTTCTGGATTCTATTAATAGAATCATAGATAACAGATTCGCGTTAGCATTTTCGCTATGTTTATGTGTAATAGTGCAAGGAAGTGACGGGTAACCCTGCCACTTCCCCCACATAATTGATCGTGTGCAGATAGCGCCTTGCTGTATGTAGTAGTAGTAGGTAAATAATTTTCGATCGTTGTATGGAGTGTCCGGGGTGTGGCACTGTCAAACAGCGGAAGGTTGCCTATTTGGGTGTACTGCGACATGACAGATATCATCTATTGCACGCTATAATGATTGTCAAAGTAGCTGGGAAGCCGAAGGTTGGAAGAAGGAAAATGTCATGGCTTCGTAACATCAGGTGAACTGGCATCAAGACTGTGGAACAAGAGACTTGTCAACTTATGTATCAGAGTGACGGGCGCAGTGGCAGTGCCTATCAAATTTTTGCGATTTAAAGTTCTGAGTAGCAATGCACCTGTTATGGACAGGCGTGTAGCTTACCATATGGCGTACGACTTGTCCGTAGTCACTTAATACTATGAAAAAAAGAACTGTTCAGGCTAGCTCTAGACAAAGAAAGAAATAAAAAATCTGACAGCCGACCTTAAGTAATTCACTTGAAGAAGATGCGTACTATTTTTAACTAATCTCTTAACTAGGTTATAAATAGAAAAATTACATTTTAAGTAATAATTACAGTATATTAAGTAGATAGAAAATGAAACGGTATAGATAAAAATTACCCCAACTATTCGATGCGTAAAACCATTGACTTACAATTATATGGACGTCGGGTCCGCGCTAAAAAGTGTCCGAACTTATAGGGCGTTAAAATCGTATACAGAGCGTCATTCACGCTTTAGTCTTCGTTTGTTCGACTGACAGCGTAGCAAGCAAAATTAGACAGTACTGCGATGACATTACAATTTAAATTCAACGTTTTAGCTTTTTCATATTCCTTTACATGTCACTACGTTTAAATAGGTTGACTTGGGACATTTTTTTCGTGGTTTTTGTATTAGACCCGTCGTCTATTTATTTGTAAGTCAATGCGTAAAACAGATTATTTGTCAATAGAGATTGACACCATAGAATCGCATCGGTTATTGCGTATCTCGCTTCAATATGTGTGCATACATTTTGTATGAGGTTGGATTTCTTATGTTTTTAATTTTGCATGACGGTTTTCGAGTAATTATTCGAATGTCGTTTCGGTGCTGTTGATTTTGTGCTTTATTGTTGACTTTTTGTTTGGTTATTCTTGATTTTTTTAATTTGTTGTGTTTGTAACTTAACAACGTAATAATCGAATCATTATTATTTGTTCTTAATCTAGTTCCTGTAAATCGATTCCCTTTTCTTTACAAATTATATCGATAAGAAATTTAAATCGATTTTTTCATTCGATTTTGAGTTTTGCATAACGATTTTGGAGTAATTGTTAAAATTACGTTTCGTTAGTGGTGATTTTATGCTTTATTGTTGACTTTCTGTTTGATTATTGTTGTTTTTTTTATTAGTTGTGTAGTTTTTTGTTTATTATTTGTTCTTACATTATAGTCATTAAATCGATTCTCTCTGCGTCACAAATTATCTCGATAAGATATTTAATACAATTTTTTTTTACTTCATTTTACGTCATTACATCCGTTTTAATCTCAAACGTCACCGTACCCATGCTATGTGAAATGAGCTTTATGTGTCATAAAAAAAAACAGCACAACGCATTTAAAATAAACTAGTTCCATATTCTTTTGAGAAAAACTCCGGTAACAGTGTACGTGACCACGCTCAAAATTGTTAGTCTTCTATTATATTTATTGTGATAATGTTCCTGATAGATAAAACTGTAGATTAAAATAATTATGTAACCTCTAGTGCCATTGCATTTGATACTTTTGATATTTTTTATTATTTATTTCATTGTAGTATACGTACGACTATGTTTTATTGTTATGTAAAATACTGTTTTTGACTGTACTTAATTCGAATATTTTAATTTTATAAGTTGTTGAATTGTTTTGTATATAAAAATGGTTTTATATTATTAAACAAAATCAAGTCACATTTCGTGTGTTTTAATTGTTGAAATTTCATTTAAGTCCCGTTCCATACCATGTTTATTGTAACCGCCTCCGTGGACATTCGTGCTGGACTGTCACGCAGAGGGACTGGGAGAAATATTTTTACGGCCTACATTTATTTCTCTCTTAAGTTCGGGTGTGATTTATAGTTATCTATGTGTGTGTTCATGGCAACCGCGATACAGGGTTTCCTTAGTGTGCGGCTGTGACTGTATGTGTTATTATTATTTGTGAATAAAAACCAAGACAATAATATTTATTAACCGACTTCAAAAATGGCTACAGTAAGTTTGTGAACTTGCCTCGGATGGCACAGACTCCAAAAATAACTGATTAGGTATTGTAAATATTTAAGTTTCAATATTTTTTTATAGTGGTAAAGTAAAACTTCAAACCGATCAGTAGGTAAATAGGTTTGGACACATTTTGGACAAGAATTGTCATATTATTTAATATAATAAATAAATGATGTAGATAGACTGATTAATTAATACGTAATTATAACTCCACATAATAATGTGTACTAATAAGCCGTGGTAGCTTTATAGTTTGATCTACCCTCTCTCAAACTGAGACCATGGGTTCAAATCCGTGCTCGTATCTCTGAGTTTAAGTGGGAAATTTAGTATTGTAATAGATACCCGAAGCGAGGAAGGGTGAAGAAAGACGTTACAATCGCCAAACGTGTGACGACGGCTTTTATTGACGTAGTTGTATGATCGACATAGGAGACGTAATAGCGCTCATCTTCGATGTTAGTTCATCGTCTCACCATGTGGAAGGACTGGAATACCTCTCATAAGCTCTATGAATCGATACAAAGCAATTTCCTTTTGCAACTTAAATGGTATTTTGGTTAATACTTCGATAGCGCGTTCTATTTTGATCCCAACGCCATCTAGCGGCAAGGCGAGGTTACTAATATTTCTTGTACGTGTTGTTGCACCATGAGCTTTTCGGTGAAGTAAATCAACACGATGAAACCTGCACGTTGAAGAATGTTCACAACCCTCGGAAAACGGTGAAGTCTCCAACCCGCGTTGAACTATGGTCTAAACCATCGCCTGAGAGGAGACCCGTGCCCAGTAGAGGGTTGGGCTTAGTCATGATATACTAAACGAAATAAGACAAAAGAAATAAAAAGTATTACGTGATATTGTTGTCTTTTGGATTAAATATGTATTTTTTATTTTTCGCTTTTTAGTGTGGTGCTGTGGTATTTTAACCGACTTACAAAAAAGGGAGTTCTCCATTCGACTGTATTTTTTTGTATGTATGTTACGCGATAATACATTTGTGGACCGATTTTGGTAATTCTTTTTCCGTTGGATAGAGGGTACTTCAATATTGGTCCCATTTAAATTTCAAGACGATATTCCGCCTCTAAGTGTGGCAAATTAGGGAATGAATATGCGGTATCACGCGCACTTTCCGGCAACCGAATCCAACAAAACTTGGCAAATAGATGTAATTCCACACACTTTTGAGTGTCGGTTTTCTTAATATTCTGTACTGAGATATTGCAGACATGTACCTGCTTCTATACAACCTGTGATTTCACAAATAAATGAATTACCCGCACTGAATCTCTTTGAAGATTTGCTTTCATCCCCCTGTAGTTAAATCAATTTGTGAAATGTTTCGATCACTATAGTACTGGTCGTTTTGACGTTTGTCCGCTTATCAAGTTTCGTGTTAATTCATAACTACTTTGAAGGAGCTAATTGCTGTACATTGTTTAATTTCACGACACAACTCGGCATTTGTTTTTCGAAAATGTAAATTTTTGAAAATTAAATCCAATACTTCGTCAATTCGCTGGCCAGCACAACTTCTACCTCCAGCAAACTCGCGTCAAAGCTCAAAACAAAGCAGTTTCGAATTGACTATATATTAAGTAAACATTTTTATTTTCGTTTTATTAAAACTTTTTATAAATCTAAAAACTTATAGATGCGACTCGCATTTGATTATATTTTTGTCGATAATTAATTGAGATTTGACCTCACTATAGTAATCTGTCAAAATTGCCATCATAGGTTGCCGGTACTGTAGCTGTCTTCACGACGTTTTCATGCACCTTTATTATTATTAACCGTTTCAATAAACGATGGCGACCTCGCCTTCGGTGGCGTAACGGTTTACAGTATGGGCGTTGGATGTAGCGATCTCGGGTTCTATTCCCGATAGGATTAATATGGAAAATGAACTTTTCTAAATTGGTTCCAATCCTGGTGATCTGGGAAGTGCCCCAGAGTGGATTCCATGTTCTGGT